GAGATCCATGTAAAGAAAATCCTGTTCTCAGTCATGCACGATATAGAAATCATTTATTACATGTTTCAGATTATCTTGAACTCTATTTACAAAAAACTACAATACCAAATTATGATATGGCTATATCCTTACAGGATATTAGAAATGCGGCAAGAGAACTTGGTAAAATAACTGGTTCTATTAGCAATGAACAAGTTTTAGACATTATTTTTAAAAATTTTTGTATAGGAAAATAAAAATCTACTTAAAAATCAGTGTTCATAGTTGTACTTCTTATGGCAATACAATTACAAATTATTTTATGATAAAAATAATTATTTATTTAAACATATATAATCATCCATCGTAAAAATTAAAAGAAAATCCTATTAAAAGTATAATGGTCAATCTTCAGTTTTCTTTTCTTGTTCTGTTCCCAAATGAGCCATATTTACCTCATCTATATTTATATTTTGATCTTTCATGGCTTGCTGAAACATAATTATATGGAATATAGCATGCACTTTAAACTGTGACAATAATTGTTTTATAATGAAATATTGTTTTAACGTTTCACAATGTTTCAAGGAATCTATAAAAAGCAATAGAAGCCAATTTATTTCATCAAACTTTAAAAGAGATTAATAGTAACGATGCGATTTTTTAAATTATTGAAATCCCAATAAAAGTTACGTTTTCAAATTTTTACGTTGATAAATTAAAAATTTATGATTCTGACATGCAAATTTCAGGACAATACAGAATCATAAATCTTTCAAGTGATTTCTTTTGAATTATTTAATCTTTTCACTTTCGAGGAGAAACAATAGCAAATTAACAAAGGTTAGGTTAGAAATTTAAAAATAAAATTTTTTTACATATATTAACTTACCGCTACACACTCAGTATAAACTTTAAGTAATGATGCGCATTCACTATCATCATAAATTCCACGCAAAAATTTTTCAGAGAACCAATTATTAAAACAACGATCGTACTTTGTTTTCAATTCTTTACAAGCCTCCATAATATATTGTTATACATTAATTTAAAAATTAATACATCATCAGCAATTAATAAATCATCGCCAATTAATTATAACAATTTTTTTTTAGTTATTAATACAGAAAAAGACGGAAATTGATATGAAATCCGTATGTTCCAGCTTGCACATGCTTTAATTCATTATTACTGTGTACAACACACGTTACTTCGTCTTACACATTTTTAAAGATCTGATTTCGAAAAGAAATAAATACACCAAAAGTAAATACAATCACGTGTTAACAATTATCTTGGATTTCAGTTCGTTGAATATATGCACAATCGAAAGTATTATTTTTCACAAAATTTTGCAAAAAAAATAATTTCCAAGAAATCGCTTTGTCATCTCACTTTCATAATATTTCAATGTTATAATCTCAAAAAAAATGAATTTAAGAAGGCAGAGCAATTCAATTACCTGCAGACACTGATTATATAATTTGAAGTGATTTGAGCACATTGAATCGTCTAAATCACCTTTAAGGAATTTTTCGGAAAACCAAAGTTTAAAACACCCATCATATTCCCTTTTAAGATTATTACAAGTTTCTGCAATACTGTTCATTTAATTTTCTAATTTATTACTGATTTTAAAATGAAACTTTGGATAGTTCCTCTTGATTTTTTTTTAAGTGTTAATAATACCTATAAAAAAATACCATCTTTGATTTATTGGTTATAAATGAAATTAACATATGCCAATTGAAATTGATTTATATTAAATGCTCCTAGCTTGAATTAAGTATTATCGAAATCTGTAATACTTAATATCGATTAAAATCGATTAATCGAACTTGTTTGCTGGAGTTATTTCGTCATATATTGAAATATTATATTTTTAAGATTTATCAAATTTGTTGATACCATTATGATTTAATATTTCTAAATAAATCTTCTTAAATTGAATAGAATAACTTACGCCAAAGTACTTTTTAGAATTTTTTTTGGAAAATTACCAAACTTTAATAATCAAAAAACATGAGAACTACAGTTTGTCACGTTGTAAATATTAGGTTAATTGATTACTGGTTCTCAACTTGCTTTTTCATAGAATGTACCAAGTTGTTATAAATTCATGGCTCATATAGGGAATTTATAAACAAATATTTAATAAAATTTAACCATTGTTTATTTACAATTTATTTATTACGCATATTATTATTTTTCATAAAATAAAATTTGTTTCTTGCAATATGATAGTAGTACTGTAATTGTAAAGAATATATTGTACTGTATAAAAATTTAAATGCAAGGGAAAATATTTTTTTTTATTTGTTGTTTACTGATACATTATAAATTGTTAGTGCATAAAATTATACTAAAAGTAACTTTATCGATAAAATAATATTGTTTAATACATTTTATTAAGCTACTATAATTAAATTAAATAAATGATAATTATATTAAAGTGATTTGAGACCTAAGTGAAAGAAATATTTTATAAATAATAGAAATTGAGAAACTGCATTCGATTATTTGTAAATTAACTTTGTTAATTATTTAATCATATTATAACAACAATCGTAATATGTCAATTGGAACTTGCATTGTTTGATCATCTACCAAAACAATATCAAATTTTTCCATAAATGAAGCCAAACTACTTTCAACCTGTAAAGAATCAAAATTTTTATTCAATTCGTAATCTTTTTTAAAAGTTCTGATCATAGAATACTATAGAATATATAGCAATTGTTTGTCATAATTTGTAATGCAATATATAATACTTACATTGTCATAAAGAAAACCAATTTTCAATACAGCACATGTATTCATCATTCCATCAACCATTGATGCATCGCCTATAGTATCACCCATTAAAAGGACATTTTTTCTTCCTTCAAGAAATTTAAAATAATCTTGTTCTATTGCATGCTCGTTTTTATTAAAGACGTGAATTAGTCTTTCATTCTGAAAACCTGCTAGTTTCCCGTCTTCATATTTGAGAAAATTTGAAATTATCTAAAAGTGGAAATAATAATTCTAAATATTATTACTACTATTATTATTTATACTAATAATATTATTACTATTTTTTTATTACTGTTACAAGTTAAAATTGTAAATTTAAAAGGAAAATTATATGTTTAGAAAATTGTTACCTTTACATTATCAAGCAGAATATCTTGATTTTTTAAGATTGCTTCAACAATATCGCCTAAGCCAGCACTAAAAACTAGAACTGGCACTTTAGCAAGATGCAATTTTTTTAAAAGTTCTTTAGTACCATCCCTTAAATACATTTCATACATGTTGCTTATTTCTGGTATTTCGTTAGGATTAAAAGGTATCCCTTTCAGAATTTCTTCTGCTGCTATCATCCATTCTGTCATTGCCTCTGTTTTTATTTCAACTGACAAATTAGGATCTATTTCAATTGGCCTATATTTTTGATAAAGACGACTTGATTCTTTTGCATATGTTTCTGGAAGTTGCTTGCACTTGCTAAAGATTCCTGTTTTTTTTTTCAGAATTACAAAGAAATAATTAAGGCTTAATATATGATTACAATAAAATAATATAAGTTTACATACCAAAACTACTGAGGACTTTTTTCCCATTGACATGCTGTTTAGTTAATGTTAAATCAAAATCAGTAACCATCTGAAAGTAAAATTTTTAGTTTCAAAATTAATGCAACGTTGACGACAAAAATTCAGGTATGTAAATAAACAATAGGACAATAGTGTCAATAAAAAAAATATTTAAAAAATTTATACCTGTAATGAATTCGATCCATCTTTCAACATTGTATTTATTGTTCTTAATAAATGTTTCTTGTCTTTGATATGGACATGCTTTAGTTTCAATGTTGGGAACTATATTAAAAGGAAAATTTAAAGAATTACATTTAAATAGTATAATCATATATAAGAAATGTATAAACAATTATTATCAAAAATATATTTTTATTCTTAAATATATATATTAATATTAGAAGAAATTATTTTTTAAACTTATCTCACCATATTTTTTTAAGTATTTTTCTACCAAATTACAAATATCTTTATTTATTTTAAAAAAGAATTGGAGAAAAATATTGTTAATAAAGGAAAACTTCTTAAAAAATACAGTTGACATTATTTATTTCGTAATATTACATATACTTTGATATAATTGAAAAATGATATAAAGTTCCAATTATTAATCATTTTGAACACATGAGTTTCATTTAATATAAATATATAAATATAAACGGTAAGATTAAAAAAAGGATTACATAAATTATAATAATAATTACTGGAATTCAATTTTACAAATGTTAAGCATACAATAAACTTAGCATTAAATAGGTTAGGTTACATTATTAAAACTTTCAACGATTTGAGGTTTCAAATTTGATTACAGTTCAATAATTTGTCAAATTTAAATAAATTGTTAAATTGCGAGTAAACTGATTTCTCAAAATGCATAACGTTCAATAAATTTTGTTATGTAAAAGCTTAATGTTAAATACTTTATATATATATATATATATATATATAT